CTGCTTATAGAATTGGCACCAGACCAGTAGCCTAGTGCTGCCTGAGAAGTTCACAGAGGCAGAAGGGGTAGTATGGACACTTTCCTCTGTTTCACAAAATGCAGGTGAGCAGTTCTTGGAGGCATGCTCCCCCTTCATTATCCATCTATGAGCTGCTGACCAGCAGATAAACAAAGCCCTTAATTAATAAAGAATTAAAAGCCCCAGCACCTAAAACCAGCAAAAGCGTCTCCCAATGCTTGCTTTGGTTAGACTTTTTTGGCCTTTGCACGTCTGCACCATCACATGTCTGCATGATGGTGCAGCTGGAATACTTTTATGAAAAAACAGAGTGGAAAGGTGACATTTCAATCTCTTCCTGAAATTTAACTCTATGGAGATACCTAGCATTTCTTGAACTGTGAACCAAACTACGTACTGCTTTACATTTTTGTAGCATAATGGCAAGGGTTTTTCCTTTTTTGCAGGTTCGTGAGCTGGAGAATGAACTTGAGACTGAACTCCGCCGCAATTCGGATGCCCAAAAAGGAGCCCGCAAGTTTGAGAGACGCATAAAGGAGCTGACTTACCAGGTGTGCAGAAACCACCAGGCAACTGGCAAGACACATCATAAACAGCCTCAGGGTTATAGTGAAGGAGTATGGATGGCCTTAGTCAGAGCTTTCTGATTGCTGGAAGCTTTAGGCACAGGAGGAACATCTCCCTCTGGCTTCCATCACAGAATGCTTTGGGTTGGAAGGGACCTTGGAGATCTTCTCATTCCAATGCCCCTGCCATGTGCAGGGACACTTTACACTAGACCAGGCTGCTCAGAGCCCCATCCAACCTGGCCCTGAACACTTCCAGGCATGGAGCATCCACAGCTTCTCTGGGCAACCTGTGCCAGTGATCATCATCCTCTTGCCAGATTTGCTGTAACTAATGTTAGAAAGCCTCTGTTGCTGGGGTTTGGACATTTTTAGCACAGTATTAATATGGAATAGGCTTCAATGACTGTTTACAATGCAAGGGAAGAAAGAGCCCAGCTCCCTTTGAGCTGTGCTGCTGTTGCTAAAAGGAGCCAGAAGGACTCAGGTGGGCAGGGTATGCCCTGCTCAGCGTAGGATTGCTGAGTCCCAGGGCTCTGACACCTATTATTGAGCAGCAGGGTCCAGTCTTGAGCCTCCTGCAGGTTTGCTAACAGCTGCTCATGCTGCTTGGCCTTCAAAAAAGGCCTGCAGCACAGAGCACTTATCCTTTTTCTTTGAACAGCATTAAGAAGATAAACCCATCCATCTGCCCTAGGAGATTATTTAGCCTCCTACCTGTTGTTTGACTTTTGTATGCAGAAGCTGAAGGTTGTTTTCTTTGAATACAGTGTGCAGGCAGAATTAGCTGATTCCTCTGCTTATGAAGCATGACAGCTTAAACTAGGCTTTTTTTACCAGAAATGCCTGCAAATCAAACTTCAAATTATGCAAATTACACAGTTCTAGGCTCACCCATATCTGCTTCAATATATAATGACATGCTTTAAATGACAAGCATGCTCCTCACCCCCGAGCAAGGAACTCTGCCTGTGTGTATCTGCATACCTCTAAAGGTGTGTGCACATACTTCTTTATATACATTTATATTTACATATCTATACATGGGAAGGACACACATCTTCAGTGATGATGTAGAAATTTTTTTCATGTGTACACAGGACATGGCTAGTTTGTGCTTTGAGATATTAATTTCTACAATATGTATGGCATCCATAATTATTGTATTGTGGTAGATGCTTTAAGCCTTTTTACTCTATCAACCCAATTAATGGTGTTTTGATACAGTCAGAAGAAGATAAGAAGAATCTTGCCAGGATGCAGGATCTGATTGACAAGCTACAATTAAAAGTGAAGAGTTACAAGCACCAAGCAGAGGAAGCTGTAAGTAACTATCTGGGCCTTTTTACCTTTCAGAGATGTATTGTTCTAAACATATCCATATGTTTTATCCTTAGAAACTTCTTGTACAAATACACATTTTATGTCCATAAATAATTATTTTCATATCTATATAAGCCCTGCACATAAAACTGTTTTTATATTATATATAAAGTAAAATATACAGATATGTGTTGATTATATTTAAGAAAAAGTATTCCATTTTATCCTAAGACTACAGTATAATTTGCAAGAAAAGGGAGGAAAGGAAAGAACAGCCCCTCAGCCCCTCCTAGCCCCTCAGAAGACACGGTGAGAGCCTCTCAGTTCACTTAACATGGAAAATGCCACTAGAAATATCAACTCTGTAAAAACAACAATCTTAGCTCTGCAGGAGGCAAGTGGTGCCCATACAGCTGTTACCTACTCACGCTGAGCACTTTCCATCCCACTTGAAATTAAAAGCTTTGTTTCATGTGGACAGGAGGAAATCAGCTGCGCTCTTTTTTCTCAACAGGAAGCTCAAGCCAATCTGTACCTCTCAAAGTACAGAAAACAGCAACATGATCTGGATGATGCTGAAGAAAGGGCTGAAATAGCCGAATCTCAAGTTAATAAACTGAGGAGCAAGTCAAGAGACATTGGCATGAAAAAGGTATGGTCACACTGTATGGGGTAGATGTGAGCACTTAACACACAATAATGGATACTCTGTATCTGTTACATCTCTGAAAGTAGTGTAGACTAGGAAAAATTATTGGGTTTCTACACTTGTTTTGTTTCACTCTGCCCTTTATTTTAATATTAAGGTAACCCTGTAGGACAGCAATCTGAACCTTAGACAAAATATATTCTCTGTATTTTTGTTGTCGTTTAACCTCTGTTCTCAGCAGCAGAACTGGTGATTTGGTGGGTTTGGTTTGGGTTTTGGGGTTTCTTTCTGCAAAGGATATTAAAAGACTCCACCTTTTTCTCTCCCTGATGATGTAGATTTCTACGTATATAGTAGAGCCTGGGTATTACCACATTAGCAGATATTTTAACATTGCTCTTTCAATGACCTTGTATTGATTGGAAGAGCTGGATGAAAAGAAAATATTGGTGATTAGTCACTTAGGTGCTGGGAAGTCATTAGTGATTAGAAATGTATTTGTGGTGTTTTTCACTTGAACTGAATGGTAGCAGAATAATGTTGGTGAAACTAGAAGGCACTTAAGGACTTAGTCTGGAACTGAAAGCAAACTTATCTATGGTTGCCTTGTGGCAAAAAAGAGTGAGGTTGTTACTTTTAGGAATGATAGAAAGAGGAGCTGGGTCATTGTTAAATCTATTTAATTTGCAAGTTTAATAAACTTCCATGCTTAACATCACAGAGGTTTTATGGAGTCAATAGCGCCCAATCTAAGAAAGGGAAAAAAACCCTTTTACACTCTTAATTTCTGCTTTTGTGTTGGTCTAATGAAATCACCTTTGCCTGATATAAATTACTGCTGCTCCACCATCCACGGCAAAGAGACATTAAAACTACCTGAATATCTGGTTTATCACACATTTTTGTACAATGGAAGAAGTACCGTAATGGAACCACAAAAGATTTGAAGCTTTTAAGGATAAAAAATTTGTACAGATTTTTCTAAATTATTATACCCCTACCAAAAAAAAATCAAAACCAATAGAAATTACTTTAAAGATTCACAAAGCCGTGGCATCACACAAATACTGAAATAGGTACACCATGAGAATAATTTATTTTTTAAAATACTGTTAAGGTTGCTGTTTATTTCCTGTACCTTACTGGTACCCTCTTTCTGCTTCAAACATGCAGAAATCACAGAAAAGTGGATGCCTGTTTTTGCTAGTCAGATGCTGTTTGCCAACACCAAGTGCAGCTCTGGCAATGGAGCAGAGTGTTGCAATGCCAAAAGACGAGCTCAGTGGTGCACACAGCGGTGGCAGTGCCACAGGAAGGGTCTAGTGGCAGCGACTGCAGGAGGTGCCAGGAAACACATTCAGGTGGAGACTACTGTCCCAAAAATCACAACATCTCCTTTGGGGAGAGAAGGGCACTGTAGAGACTACTTTAATCCTGTAGCTTTAGAAATACCTTGTCTACTGCTACCAGTACCCATTTTCTGGATAATTTGGGGGGTGTGTGTCATTCAGAGCATTGCCATCTATTAAGAAAGGGTTGTAGAAGTTCTCTGCCATCAAAAGGATCTATATAATCTAGAACAAGGACAGGATACCTGCACTGTTAGCTGGAATAAGATGGCAAATGTTGGCTAGACTGCTGCTAGTCTATTTCAGATACAGATTATTTCAGGTAATACCAGGGAACAGAAGCATTAGTGCAGCTTTTGCCACGTACTTGTGAACTTACATTAAAACCTCTTGACATGTCTCTTTTTAACAGTTGCATACTATCTCAATTGCCTTTCAGGTTCATGAAGAGGAGTAAAAAAGTCCAAGCTGACAAATATGAGAAAACACTTGACATAATCAGGCACAAATGAAAGCAGATGTAGAAAAAAATAAGCACTTACAGAAATAAACATCAAGTGAAAATTCAAATAGACTGTACAGCATATGACATTCATTTATTTGTGTTTTTATTTTGCCAAGCCTTAGGGATCAATAGAAGATTACCTCTCGCCAACAGTCAACTTCATTATGTTGGAACAAATCCTAATTAGCAGATCTCTGACAAAATCAAAACTAAGGGCAAATCCAGTTATGCTGCACACCCTCACATATTTCATATGCAGACTGTTAAAGCAGCTGTCCTGGTTTATAAACAGTACTTCACTCTCTCAAACCACACTGCCACTCTCTTGCTCCCCCCTCTCCTTCCCCCTTCCCACTGCTGGAATGGAGTTGGGAGTTGAAAGCACAAAATGTGAAAAATCACGGGCTAAGAACAATTTCCTGGAAACAGCAATGAGATCAGAAAATTAATAGTAACAGCAATGATAATAATTAAGAGTTGAAAGCACAAAATGTAAGAAATCATGGGCTAAGAACAATTTCCTGGAAACAGCAATGAGATAAGAAAAAAAAAATTAATAGTAACAGCAATTATAATAATTTAAAAAAAACTATACAAAAGAGAAGGCGATGCACATGCAGAAATGCTCACCATGGACCCCTCCTTGAAGGAACTCCTTTTACCACACACAGTCCCTCTCCCCACTCCCACACCCAATGAAGTGGGGTTCTGGTCATATCCCCTCATGGCTATTGCAAAAAAATCCCTGTTCCAGTTAGGACCAGGACAGCAGCACAGATTAAACCTGTGGAAGGGACAGCCCTTAAAGCTGGAAAAACCCCGCTTCCATTTGTCCTGCCTGTAAGACCCTGAGTTTTGGAGAAGAGAAAGAGTTCCATATGAACAGTCACAGCACAGATTAAACCTGTGGAAGGGACAGCCCTTAAAGCTGGAAAAACCCCGCTTCCATTTGTCCTGCCTGTAAGACCCTGAGTTTTGGAGAAGAGAAAGTAAAGAGTTCCATATGAACAGTCAATATTTATAAGCTTCCACTACCACCAGTTAAGGGACTTCTCTTTACCAGCTGCAGGACAGGCACAGGAGATGGTGTCAAGGGACCCTCCCTGTGGCTCAGAAATAAAGAATTATCTTCAATCTTTCTTGCCTTTAAACAGGGAGCTGGTCTCTGGTGGTTTAACACCAGCCAGAAAATGAAACTCCAAATAAGCCACTCCCCTTCCCCCCACCCCTTTCTGGTAAGAGAGAGACAAAAGCAGGGACTGGGGGTTGAGATAATTTACTGAAAGCAAAGAGCAACAATGTAAATAACAAAAGTATACAAGAAGAGATGCTTTACCCACACAAACATGTTCACCACTTCAACTTAGTTCTATGTGGCTACTGGGACAAAGACAAGATGGCAGACACTCCCCATAGGTCATGTCCATGTGGTCCCCTGGGACAAGGACAAAATGGAAGCCATTCCAGTGCTGCCTGCTCCATGTGTTTTTCCAGACTAAGACAAGGTGGCAACCATTTCCACACACCATGTGGCCCCCAGGACAAAAGCAGGTGGGGGAGGCTCCCACTGCTAACATTTCCTATCCCTAAGCCCAAGACAATGGAGAACAATGATGGATAAACCCCCAAAAGCTGGACCATGGCCCATTTTCCAGACCGCTGTGCTAGGCTGTGTTTGGCAGCATTCAGCTTCTCACACCTCAGTCTGCCACTGTTTTGTTCCCCACAGCTGCTCCCACTTGGACACTTCTCTGCTCCCCCACCACTGCCAGCCCAGCGCACTCTGTGGGGCTTGGACTTCCACTGTCGACAGCAGACATGGTCTATAAAATAAAATACTAAATTAAATGAAAACCAGTAAGCTCTCTTCCCCTCACTCTGAAAAAAAAACAAACCCAAAAAACCCTCAAAATTTAGGGATTTCTTCTTCTCTGGAAACTTCTTTGTCCCTTTAGGAAATCAAATTTTGCATGTTGACTTGTCACAGGACAAATGGGAGCTTCACACAAGCCTTGCCTTAGCCTCAGATTTTTGGCAACAGCTTAAATTTAATAAATCACTCTGGCCCGCAGGTTCTAAGGATGGCAGATCAGGTCTATTTAGAAAATGAGTTATTTATTGAACAGACAGGAGGTAACACATGAAAGGTCTTAACCTGAGTTAATTCTGACATAGTATAAAACAAAAGAACTACCAGTAGATTACACAAAACAGTGCATGATATCAACATACCTATATTAAAACTAGCAAAAAAAATAGCCTCCAGAGGAATAACCGCAAAACAGGCAACCCTGCTCTGAGGAGAAATTCCACGTTTCCAGGAAAATGTGCAGAAGATTTCTGATTTGTCAAAGTTTGATGTAGCTTATATAGTTTGTAAAGGCAGGTTCTGTCAGTCAGAATTCCAGTTTGTCTTTACAGATGGTAATCCCATGGTGCCAAATAACTTACTACAAGGCAGCTCTGTCTGGTTTTGGGGGAGTCGGTGCTGGGGACAGCACTCCTGGGATGCCATGGGAAGATTCCTACGTGTAACTCATGGTGAGAGAGTGGCTCACTTTCCCATGATCCCTCACTCCCACAAGCAAATGATCATGTGTCAGTCATCCCCACTTTCTAGAAAGTTCTGTATCCTCAGCTTTGTTATTGGTCTCCCCAGTTCTTGTCACTCCCTTCCTGCTTCTTATTGGTGTGCTCTACAGTACACCATCCCAACTCCTCCCCTGTCCTACCTTCCCATTGGCTGAATTGTACCCTGACCCCTCCTATTCCTCCCCACTTTATATACGTTGTATCCACCTCCACTGACGGGGCTGGGGGTTTTGCCTGTCAGGTGCAGTGTGATCAGCTCCTAGTTCAGTGTGCCTGATTCCCTCACCAGCAGTTGTCACCCTACTTCTTTCCCACCTCCTCCTTTCATCACCTGATCCTTCCTGCCCCTCTCCACGACGTCTGTACCCTTGGATTCTCCTCCAATAAACTCTGGTGAGCTGTCATACAGCGAGCACTCCTGTCTCTCATTGGTGAGGACACATTATTACTACATTTGGGCACAGGCAGAAGGTTGGCTGTGGGAGCTGGACGCAGCGTCCGGGGAAACCCGTTCGGATTTGCGGACACCTCGTCAGGACTGGCCTGGGTAACCCGCATGGTTAGAGTTAACTCACCAGTTAAAATGCAACAGATAAGCTCATGTGGGGGGTGAGATGCCCTGCTCCATGACTTTTCACATACAAGTGTCCATTGACTTTTCTTCCTCCCCATTTGTCCATTAGTGTTGCTCAGAAAATCACATTTCCATGTGGCTCTTACTGTAACTCAAAGGGGGAGGTGGAGGAACTCTTTGTTCATCACCAGTGTCAGTAGTGTCTGTGTGCAGAGAGCTGTTTTCTTCCTGTATGTCAAGGTGTTCATATGACTCCTCTCTTCCTTTTTTTCTAGACAAAATACAAATAAGAATTACTGATGTGTAAAATTAATCCCCTAGTGGGAGAACAAGAACAAGACAGACTCAACATAAAGATAAGTCAGCATTTTCCATTTTAGATTTATCTGAGTAAAATAAACATCCACACAACAGTACAGAAACATTAATGGTTTTTCCATCTAGTCCTCCATCAATGTAACCAGAGCTGAATTAACCTATCAACTGCTCCACTTCCTCTGATTATGATATGTTTGACAGCCCAACATGTCCCAAGATAACTTAATCTTGCTTAAATTGTTTAGACAACTGCATCTAAAAGTATATTATCATGTCTAAAGCATGTTACAACTGTTTAATAAGCAGCATGCAAGTGAATCTCTGTGTAGAGAAAAAAATGAAAAAAGACTGAGGCATAATATTTCAGAGTTTTCTTTCTCATGTATTTTTGCTGTACCTCATGGTACCCATAAAATGTCTCCTGAAGCTTACTAAATACAGACTGTGACAAAATCTTCAAACATTCAAGGCCTGGATTTAGGTACTTCCCTTCAATTTGACTTGGGGGTCCATTTTGAGGAGGTGGTCAGTGGGTTTCAATCTCCCACTGCCAGAATTACCTTTCCCCACTTACTGTTCAGTTCTTTTGACTTTACTGCTGGTGCCCCTTGTCCAGACAGTCTGTTCACCTTGGGATTGCCTTCCTTTCTGTTTTTCTTTAAAACAGAAGATCAGCCTAGCAAACCATGCTAACAACACAGTTGTTTAATCACAACTGTCTAGCTACAGCTACTGATTACCAATTTTTTTGAAGTTCCAAAGTTTGGCTAAAACCCTTATTCAAATCTTGAGGGGCTTGGTATCAACTTAAAAAATAAGTACTCTAATGATTGTACATACCTTGAGATAGCAAAGTACCGCTGCTATTGCCACTGCTATTGCCACTGCAACAAGTACTGCCAACACAACACTTTTCCCAGTGTTACCTGAATTTTCTTTAAAAATACAAGTACAAAAAACAAGTGCTTATTGTTCAATGAATATATCAAAGCTATGATTTTTTTTCTTATTTATAATCTAAAAGGTATGATTTAGGGAGAAAGAAACATTGAAAGAAAACTGAGACACGGACAACAATGTTCAAGTTACTTGACTCATACTGTAAGACTTTGAAGTGATACTTTACTGACGTGTGAATAGCTGAAAGCAGATTATTATATTTAGTTGTGTTGATAGCAAATTCCATGTGTGGTCATGGGACAGGATTTGACAACTTCTTAATACAAGTCCCATTTAAAACCAATCAACTGCCCAGTGTGCTGGTGGGCACTGTCTCCAGGTATGGTGCTCAGTGCCATCAGCACTACTGATTTACAGTAGAGCAGTTCTGTAAATGTTATCCAGCCTGGATCATAAATTTCACGACTCCCGCTGCAAAATCTTTGCAACTTTAATCTGAAACATTGCACAGCTTCATAGTGTAACCACGCAATCCAGGTGAGATGAGTGATAACCATGGATTCCACAGGAGATTAAAGCCTAGGAGAAACCTCTGCACAGCACCAAACTGTCAGAAGAACTGTATGGCTCTTCTACCTCAGGTTGTCTTTCCCCTGCTGTGTCTTGTCCAAAGAATTTGAAAAATTTTACATTTCTCTGGAAACTTCCTATGGATGTCTGGAAAACAGCTAAAAATAAGAGCTGCTAAAACAGAGCATTTAATCTAGTCATTGCCTTTAGCTTGACTTTGTAACCACACGCAGACCTATGTTTACATCTTGTAAATACCTTTAGAAGAGCTTTAAGCTGCAACCCTTCCTTAAGCCAGAGAGATGACTGTAAATCTCTTTTTTCTCCTCAAAAGCTTTCTTCCAGTGGCCCTTGGAAACCCTCCTGATGGCTCAGCAGCTGCTGTCCTATGGCTGCTGTGCTATGGCTGCTATGCATCGTGGATAGCCCATTCCCTGCTGTCTCCAGCCACTTATCTGCTTTCAGGCTGTGCTGAAAGCCACAAAGCTGCTCATCTGTAGTTATTGTTACTTATTCTACCCCTTTTTCTGTTATGTTGTCTCTATTTTTCATGTCTTACAGGCTCGCTTTAAGTTCTCTTCTTTGTTTAGAAGAGCTGCCCTCTATTAGTTCTCAATCTTTTCAGTGATTGTATGTAATTGTGTGAAATGTCTGTGCACTACTGTTGTATGTGCTACTGACAACGAAATAACTGCAAGTAAGATTTCACAGCTGGGAATTTACTATAGCTCATAAAAACACAGACATGTATTTAAACTTATATATCCCCAGGTCTAAAAAAGGCCTGCTGCGTAAAATTAAAGCTTTGGAAATAACAACTGTGTTCTAAACAAGCTTTCTTCTGCAGCGAAACTTATACCACAAGCTTTGGGCTTCCCATTATCTCTCTGCTACATTTAAAGCTATGTTTGCTGTCAGCAGAGCATTTAGGACAGAATTCTGAGAGCCCTGCTGTGTCCTCAGCTAAGAGAGCAGTTGGTGGCAACTGAAGGCTGTTTTCGTAACCATTGCCACAATAAGCTGCTGACTGAAAAAAAACCACCAAACTTCTAGTCTTTAAATAAACACATTTGGTAACTCTTTTTTTCCCCTGAGCAAACAAAAATAAAATATGTCTCTCTTCCACCCAACTGCACTAATCACACCAAATGACACTAAAGTAAGTGCATGTTGCATCAGTGTACTGAGAGCTGGAAAACAGCCATCACTGCTGTCCCACTGCATCCTCACCCAATTCATGTAATGAAGGCTGAAGACATTCACAGAGAAAAGCATCTGCCAGTAGAGCCCATGTCCCCCCTCAAGGGGTATATTCTGAACTCTAGAGCTGTTTCCATGACTAGTTTTTAACTCATTCTCATAGTATTGATTCTTTTTATGTAATGATTATTTTTGAGATTTCTGACTGACTCTTTGGCTGTGCATTGTCCTAACTGGTCCTCATCCTCTGAATTGGAAAGAGTGGCAACTTACTGACGTGCAAAGTTGTCACAGCAAGTTTTGTGTAGAGAGGTGTTGAAATATTACACAGATATTCTCCACTGTCGTCTGCAGTAAGATGATCCAGCCTCAGTGAAAAGTCATTTTCGTTAACCTGGACTTGAGGCTGGTAGGAGAGAGATGTGCCATTGAAGGAGGCCAGGTCTGAGGTCACTCCATTTCTGTGTAATGTCCAGACAACGCTGAAACCATCAGTGCTTGCAGGGTCATGGCCGTGTTCACAAGGAATTATGGTGCTCTCTCCTTCCGTCGTAGTCAGGTGGTCTGAAACACATAAAGAGCTCTCTGCACTTTTTTTGGAAAATACTGTGAAGGTTATTTTGACATTTTGTGATTTTTTTTTTAAGGTTTGATACTACCATGAACAAATACAAAAACATATTTCACTACTTTGATATTGCATTCTAATATCACAGTATGTTTCTAGAAGCATCTGAAGATTTAAAAAACACACGTATCTTACACTAAAAATCTAATTGGCATTGGCAATATTTATGAATATCCTTTTTTAAAAAATTTGACTATTTTTCCTCTAATTGAGGGGCTCATTAATAGAAGTGAGTCAGTCTAGTCTAGGTTACTGTGTAAAACAGCAGGAAATTCTTCATGCTGGGAGCAGAGTGAAAATGGAACTGATCAGATAACTGCACATCTGAAGCAAAAAGATAAAACACAACATAATTTAACTAAAAGAATATAAAGACGGTATGTAGTTAGAAATAACTTTCAGTTATGGTGAACTTTACTTTCCATGTTGAACATTTAACAACTAATAAATAGCTTTAAAAAACCCTTTAAAGGAAGGAGAAGGCAGGTAAATGGAATTAGCAACTAATATATAAATATACTAATATAAGAGAAATTAACATCATAGCACAACTATGGATTTGACAGCAGGGATTTGACAGGAGTGGTGGCTGGCAGTCAGCTAGAGAGGAACATAATAGATTATTTTGACATGGTATAACTACACTTGATTTCTGTGTGTGGGGGTTTAATGAACAAAGGTGTAGGGCTGAAAAATCATGAAGACAAAAAACCCCAGAATTGTACCCCACACTACTATTAGAGAAAAAAAGGAGAGCAGTTTGTTTTCAAAATATTCTGCTGAGGGGTTAGATGGATGCAGGGAAATGCAACTACATCTGTAAAGGAATGTACCTTTTTCTCTTGTGGACCAGGCATAGATAACAAAGAGACACAGTGCACTTGGTAGCTACTATGATGGCATGCTTGAAACCTTCCATATTGTAAACTATTCCATGTAAATTAAAAACTGCGCTCTTATTCTGGATCTTATGCAGTAGGTTAGGAACTGAGAGTGTCTGGATACACTTTAGGGAGTAATCAGGATGATGGAAGCATCCATGCACATCGCACAAAAGAACTGCATTGGTCTTCCTTCAATTAAAAGTATTTCCTAAGGGAGAGGTTGAAAACCCCCATTTATCTACTCGAACTGAATTTCCAATGAAATTTAGGAGGAAGACAAAGCAGAGTTGAAATTTCATAGTCCTGCTTTTCCTTAACTAAAAAAAATTAGTTGCTGTTCACTAAAATGCAAACTGTTTGCTGCTCTCCATTCCCACACACCCCAGCACTCACACTGGTACTTAAGGATGCATGTGGGGAGAAGTACAATGAAAGGATCAAACAGATCCTATGCAGCTACAGCAGCAGGCAAACTTTCACCTCCCTCACAGAACCCACATATTCTCTAAGGTTTCCATGTATTTTGTCCAATGGGCAGAATTTTTTTATTGATAGAGGGTAAAGTTTGTTTATTAGGCACCTCTTAAAATGTGAAACTGATACAGAAAAGATGTTAAGAATAAAGGTAACTTACAGAAGGGTGAGCTAGCCCCTCTCATTCCTACTTCTTGGAAGCAACTTGTAATCCTAACAAATGCATTTCAAAGAGAAAGGTATATCCTTTTCTACTGTCCCACATCCATGTTGCCCCATTGCAGAAAGACTGTATTTCGTTTGACTCTGAAGCCAGCTGTGAAATTCAGTAACAATGGTGAAAGAGATTTCATTCCTACCTTGCATCTTCCATTCAGCGGCCCACACTTCATGATCCAAACGAATATGACAGTAGTAAGTATCTGTCACATTCATAATGTCCTTGTCACTTCTAAGAGAATAGAGAGCTCCATTCCTAGTTTGCTCCCGATCTGTCTCTTGGATGGATATATTGCCCTGTACCCAAGATATAGCTGGTGCTGGATAAGTGAGAAAAGCATAGCACTTCAGTCTCCTTTCTGTGTTTGTATTTTGGTATTCCAGTGCGTAAGAAGAAGGAGCTGTAGATGAAAAAATAATTTAAAAAAATAAATCCTCCCACTTACAAAATGGTTTTTAACTTGAAGTGATTACTCTTTTGAAATACCATTGGGGAGAATGAATATAGCCAAGAACAAAACTTCATCTGTGTTTGATTTCAGAAGAAACCACAGCTACTTACAAGGCCAAGATTTGTACTGTTCTGAGAAGCCACATTATGTGTACCACATAATTAGCCCTTAGAAATCAGGGTGCAGTAGATCATGAAAACAAGTGCTGCACTAAAATTTTCAAATCCTTGTTGCAATATTTCACCAGAGAAAAAAAAACCTGCTGAATAACACCATCAGGCCCAAAAGGTGCTCTGCTGGGTTGGAGGATTTTAGTTCCATGGGAGAAACAAGGAAATCTATTGGTGCCATTCCATTTGTGGTGGTGTGATCCAAGGGTTTTTGATGCCTTACTGACCTTTTACACGTAGCTGCACTTCCACTTCCGTTCGATATTGTGCTGTTCCCACGTAGCAGGTGTATGAGCCCTCATCAGTCATGGTCAGGTTACTAATTTTCAAGGAGGCATTTCCACTAGGAATGTTCTCATGGAAAAGGTGTGTTCTGAGTCTGTAATGTGGATCTTGCTCTTCCAGATGATCCTTCTGCTGGTAGTAACTGTGCACATTTCTGTTCTCTTTGCTCCAGTGAATTACTTCATCTTGCCCAGGTGGGAAACGACAAGGGAGGATGCAATCCTCAGAAAACAGCCCTGTTACTTCTTCCTGTTCCGTAAAACCTAAAGCCCATAAGTACAAATGAGTAAGTTTAATCCAGTCTACAAGTGTATTTCTTCACCTCTTTATCCCTGACAAAAACATGCTCTTGCAGGTGTGCCAACATCTCTTTCATGACTTTTCTGTCACATGAGTCTCTTGGGACAGCAAGGGTGTCCATTCAGTTTAATCAGGATTGTAACACAGAGCTCTGCTCTTTGAACTTCTAATCAGTTAACATAGGAATTCCAAGTAAGCACCGACATACTCAAATCAGCACACTGCCACCTTACCACCTGAGCTTCAAATGTGCTTCCACACCGTGAATCACGTATTGTCCACCTAAGACTTCAAAAGCCTTTTGAGCTGCAGCTTCCTACGTGTTCAAACATTTGCAATGCCCCATGTTACCAACCACCACCACACAGTGCCAAACAGTTGCACCATCACAGGGAAAGAAGACATGGCTCTGCAACTGGTGGGAAGGACAGAACTTCTTGAAACAGCTTTGCCACCACAGACAGGATGAGGAAGCTCTGTCTCAGCCCTTTGAGATAATTGAGGTGTGCATTCCACAAATTGACAGAAGTGGTAACATCTAATTTCTGTCAACATTTAAGTTGGGCCTTGCTAGCATGCAAGAACAATTTTAAATTAATCTTTAAAAAAACTGACTGCATTGACTTAGCATCATCATGTTGACTTCTTGGCCAAGGTCAGACAACCTGTTAGGCTGATAGTGAGTGCCCAGGGGCAGCTGCCTTCTCAGACATTCTGATGCTGTCTCTAGCTCATCTGGCAGAACAATCCAAATGACTTTTCCTTGGTCTTCTCAACGCAAAGTCAGCCAATTTGATGCAAATAATCTTCTGTCTGAACTGAAAAGCACTGCCTGCTGAGCCAGTGGGACAGAAATATTGGCAGGTAACAAGTCTGGGGGCTCATTGGCCACAGCCATCCATGCAGCAAGCTGACAAGCAGTCTTTGGCTTCAGAAGTGTTTTACATTACCCAAAATTGATTTTGATCATTAATAAGCAGTGTTTGAATTCACAAACTCATCTTAATAAAAATTAAAAATAAGGGGCTTCTCCATTATTTTTCAGCCCCAACCTACCCCAAAGTGTAGCACTGATGTAAAGTAAACAGATCGTGACAGCTGATATGTTCTGTCCTTTCATTTCTTCATTAGTTTGTAGATTCAGGTCAAACTGGCAAAATAAAAGCAGGGCAGAAAACCTATTTAAATGCAAATAAAATACATGTCCATATATAATTTCCTTTCTACAGCTTGCTAAGAACTACAGGCCTTTGTATCATACGTTTTGTTTGCCACAGACTTGGTCCAGATTTTTGACATTAAAGTCATTCATTATGTGATCCTACGCATTACATAATAGTGGAGCCCACTCATTACCTTGTAGCCCCTTGCAGATTTATGCTTTATTTTCAATAAATAGAAAGTGTTTACTATCAGTGTTGTTGCAGGGCTAGGGAATATTAATCTTCTTCATTCCTGAACAGGACCCCAAAGAAAACTGGTCAAGTAAAATTTACAAAAGTATGTAAGATGTCCCTTGTCAAGCCTGATTTTCTTTACTTTTTAAAATATTTTTCTGATTACTGCAACATTTGACTTTCTGGGGTGGGAAATTTAATTGCATTTGCAAATACTGCAGATACAGAGAATTTTTCACACTTTTTATACTTTCAAAAATGTGTGCATGGAAATCTAGGGTAGGAATGCAAAGGAGGAGGAGACTCATTGTATCTTTTGTTTTGTCAGACAGCAATGAACTGGAACTTCTCATGCATAACAGAAAAAGAATAACCTTACTGTAACTATTACCTGAGTGGTGCAGTCTTATCCTAAAATACAGCATACCCCAGTGGAGAAATTACCTCATGACTCAAGTAACTTGAAAAAACTTTAATGGCTTTTCCCTAGTCCTTTTTGTCTCCCCAAAAGGCAGCTATAGGTACCATTTCTAACTGGCTTAGCCAGGCTTGCTAGCCAGACCTTTTAGTATGATGAATAATTTTGACTGGTGTCTGAGACTGTGTTTGTGGTGGACATGAATCTTAAATCCCAAAGATTTTTGAGTATTATTTCTTTTGAAAAGGCAGCATGCTTGTTTTATGTATTCTCACTATTCTTTTGGGAGAAAAAACCTGAACAAAACAAAAAAAGAACAGAGGCATCAAAACATTAAATCTGACACAGAACTAGATGTAATGGTAAAATAAACATTTGATAAATAATTTTGTTCCGTGTAAGCAACAATTGCCAGTATCTACCTTCTTTACCTCTTTCATTGGCAAGTGGGGCACATAATGTTTTATTGGATTTTTTGCTTATTTACCTATCACTTCCAACTTGATCAACAAAATATACTGTGCTTGATGTTTGAATTTCAGAAACTGTAATCAGTGCTATATTTCCCTTAGTGAGGGATCTGCCATGTTTAATGACATGTCACCTTTCACTGGCAGTGCTGCTCTGAGAGTAACATGGTTCCAGTGGTACCTCTCTGATGCTTTGGGGGCTGCATGGACAGTGCACACTGCCTCCCACCTTCTAGCTGTGCCCCATAACCCTGCTCCAAAATACAACAGCTACAACTACGTAACTGAAAATTTTCATGTTCAGCACAAACCATAGCTTTGGGTCTTCCCATTAGAGAAAAATGTATGCTGGTCTGTAGAAAAATCTGAGGAGTGTAGATTCTGGCCAGTCTTTTCAGCAAGTTCTGGGGTCTTACAGGAATAAGGTGTGTGTATGCTGATAATTAGATCCACACTGCAAAGTACTGAACAAACATGCAACAAACAAACACCACCTGTTTGTCACAGTGGCACTACCAAGAAGTCATGCCCTAAGGCTTTGTAGTGAAACATCCATATGAAATAAGGTGCACAAGTAGAATTAAGTTCACTGTAGTCACGTTGGTTACTGATGGTCTAGTTTTCAGGAGAATTATTTCACACAGAATCACCACAGGTTCAACTGGAAAGCAGCTCAGACAGGGTTTCTGAGAAGCAAGGCAAGGTGCTAAAAGGCATCTCCAAAGACACTGAACGGCTCAAATAATGGTAGGGGGAATGATGCATTTCCTTGGCCACTACAGGAAAAGAACACATGCTTTCTCTTTCTTCTGTTTATCAGTGACCAAAGTATCCAAATATTTCCTCCTTTTTGAGCTCTGCAGTCAAGCTGAAATCTGACCAGAGCACTCCTGCAGTAAACAGCCCTCGGGAGTGGTTGCTGCTCAGTGCACTTTGTGACCTCTTTGAGAGCAGATACACATATTGAAATATCCTCCTTTCAAACAAATTTTATTTATTTCTTAGTACAAAGGATTCTGATTTATTTCTTTTCAATGCAACTTGGCAACAACACATTTCAAACGTGCACACACTTACCAGGACTGGGAAATACCGTAAGATTTTAATTTTTACCAACAAGCAAACAAGAAAAACAAACATGTAAAATTCTCAAAAAGACACGTCAACCACATACTGCTAAAATCTCCTGCCACAAGGCTACCAGCTTTCTAGCATTCCCTCACTGAGTCTTCAGAGGATTTCCCACAGTAAAACAGAGAAACCATTCTCTGCCTCCCCACAATGAGACCCTTACAACTTAAATGTTAACTCCATACTTCATACTTGTTGATAAATGGAAGAAAATTTTCCACAGTCTCTCTTGCTGTTGATGTTTGCTTCTCTCCAGCTGCACTCTGATCCACCCACATGGCTCAGTAGTAAGCTAACACACAAGTTAGTGACAAAGAAAAAAATTTTAACCCTTTCTTTTGCCTGGCAAACCCAAAGTTCCTGCAAGCTGTGAGAGGAAATGAGTGAGCAGTAGGAGGCTTACAGCAGTCACGATGCCACTCCTAACGCGACTGCCACAATTCTCTAAAGGGGCAGAGTGCAGGAATCTGGCACCGGGACAGAGGTCACAGCCCTGAGGGCTCAGGAGAGAAAGAACGTGAAGTAAAAGTACTCATGACACTCTTCTCAAAAAGCTGGGCACCTGAAACAACAGGCCTAGGGTTGCCTGCAGGGTTAGGTAATTATTTTCGAGAAATATTTTAACAGTGACTTAATCTCTCTGAACAATTCAAGACTTGTCTGTGCCATCTGGTTTATTTTTGGAAAATATTTTAACAGTGACTTAATCTCTCTGGACAATTCAAGACTTGTCTGTGCCATCTGGTTCCCAGCAGAACGAAACGACTGAAGTATTTTCGGGAAGAGGGCTTACAAAAAAACCCAACCAAAATGAAGGAAGAATTGGCAAGAAGGGGTGTGTCCCCTCAAAAGCTCTGCCTGGTGCTGGGAGTAGACAGGTGAGGTGTATCTTGTATTCACAGAGACATTTCAGTTGGAAAAGACCTCTGAGACCATCGAGTCCAACCTCTGACTGATGAACTTCTCAACTAGATCATGGCATTGAGACGTCCCGTCGTTTCTTGAACATTTTCAGGGATGGTGACGTACCTGGGCAGCTCATTGCAATGCTTGAAAACCCCTTCAGTGGGGAAATTCCTCCCAATATCCAATCTAAACGTGCCCTGACACACCTTGAGGGTACAGGACTAGTACCTCTTGTCCTGTTACTAGTTAAGTGGGAGAACAGGCCGATCCCCACCTGGCTACAACTTCCTTAAAGGAAGTTGTAAAGACTGGTATGGTCTTACCTGAGCGGCTCCTCATGGGAACTGCCCTTCACACCCTTCACCAGCTCCGTCTCCCTTCTCTGGGCACGCTCCAGCACCTCCAAGTCTGCCCGGCAGTGAGGTGTCCTGAGCTGGACACAGCACTCGAGGCGCTTCACCAGCGCCAAGCGCATTCCCGAGCTTTCCCACCTGAGCTTTCCCACCCGCTGCCTTCCCCACCCCGCTCCAGGGCACGTCCAGCCGGCACCCGCGGCTAGTGCCACAGCTCCTGGCTGCCCGCACTCACTTTTCCGCACCTCCGGCTGCAGAGCGCCGCACCTCAGCCCGTGAGCCTACCGCCGCCGCCCGCTCCGCACCTGCCGCCAGCGAGGCGCTCCGACGTCCGTCTTCGGGAACGGAGGAAAACTTGGAAGTTGAGCGGCTCCCCTCACGCGCTGAAAGGTGAAAACTCCGCTCGGCGCGGGTTGGCTCTGCGGCCTCGTGGGCACCGCCCCGAGCGCTCGGCGGCGCTGGGGCCCGCCCGCCTCCGTCGCTGTGGTAACGGGTCAAGATGGCGGAGGAGGGCGCTCCGGGCCGGCGCGGCGAGCGCGGCGAGGAGGCGCCGGCGGAGCGCGGCCCCGGCGCGGCTTTCCACATGTTCGTGCTCATGGAGGACCTGCTGGACAAGCTGAAACTGCTGAGCTACGAAGAGGAGGCGCTGCGGCGCCACAACATGCGGCCTCTGTCCAGGTGCTTGTGACCCGCGCCTCCTCCGCGGCCCGAGGGCGGCCGGAGGGAATCCCTCCGGGCTGTCCTAGCCTAGGGAAGGGCCTGCGCGGCCGGATGCCTGGGAAAACCATCCAGTAGCAAAGCTTCCCGTGTAAGCTGGAAGCTTTCAGAACGCGAGGCCCCGCGAAAGGCTGAGATGCGATAAGTAAATGGTCCCTTGACCTTCCCTGCCCCCAGCAAGTACTGGGTAGCTGCATGCCCGGGTACCTGTGCAGAAAGTAATTCTGCCTAAATTCTGCCTCTTCCGCAGAAAATAGCTCTGTCTAAATTCCAAGATGTTCAAAGTAACTCTAAATATCTTGAATTCGGGATAGCTGTTTATGGCGTGTGTATATTTTTTACCTTTACAAAGAGGGTCTTGGACTCGTTTTTGGTAAGGCTGGGGTTTTGTATTCAGTACATACTTGTTTCATTTGTAATGTTTTTTTTATGCCTTTTAAATTATGCTGGAGACAGGAAGCCTGGGAAACAGAGCCCCCAATATCCAAATGCCCAAATAACTTTCAAACCCATCCATCACTTTCAGCCAGGCTCTGTGACTGCAGGGTGTCACAGAATTAAGCTTCTTATAAGCAACAGTTTGGTAAGGGGGTCCAAGTTACCCCCTTTCTGAGAAGGAGGCTCAAGTATGAGCAAAATGTCTGTAAATCAGTTCTAGCCTGCTGTTGAACCATTGGAATGTTTGGAGCAGGACGGCAGACCTTTGTGTATCTTAGTGAGTAGCTGTGTTGGTAAAGGGAAGCATTTCCAGGAGTTCCCAGTGTCCAGTGTGCATGTAATTTATAGTTTGGGGGAGTGGTCTGGTTTTGTGGACTGAGTTCTTGTTAGGACTACATATTTGAATTTGGTGTGATCCAACTCAGATCCAGTTTTCATTGCTCTCCAAAGAACAGTAGGTAAGGACAGGTGGAAGGATGAGTTCAAAACATGCTCCTGATCTGAGCTGAATTTGCAGACGCAGGAATACCATCCTCCTGCATTTCTTGAGGAAAGTGTGAAGGACAGGTGATTTGGGGAACTTGGCAGCCAAGTCTGGTGTTGACTAATAACTTACTCAAGGTGGAAATAAGCAAGCTGGGTGTAGAAAACTTACTCTGCTGTGGTTATGTGTGAAACTAGGCATCCTGATTTTTGTTCAGATGGGTTGCTGGGTAAAGAAACCGCTCTGTAGCCTGTGCTCACCTATAAGAGCTCCAGAAGCTCACAGTGCGTACCATTTGCCCCCTTTTCAACCAGGCACTACTTTGCGCTGCCCACCAATCCGGGTGAGCAGTTCTTCATGTTCTGCACGCTCGCCGCGTGGCTGATCGGCAGAGCGGGACGTCCCTTCGAGCAGCCGCAGGAGTGCGATGACCCCAACGCCGTGATCTCCAACGTTCTCTCGGAGCTGCGGGCCTTTGTGAGTGTCACACGGGCTCCCTTGCCGAGCGTGTTGCAAACGCCTGCATTCCCCTCAGAAATAACAGCAGTCACACCCTGTCCTCCTGCTGGGTCTGGTCCCAAGGACGGGACAGACTTTTCCTAGCTGTAAGTTTGTACTATGTTACTTAGTTAATTGGAAGTTTACATAGGCTGTACCTACTTGCTGTTTTTTTAGCACTACAAAAATGGTCTTATAAATGATTCCAGTTAGTTTTGTTCTGCAGTCTGTAAAATGGCTTAAACTGGGCTTACCTTTTGTAGTGCCACATATGCTGCTCATTTATAGTAGCATGATTTTCAGAGATTTCATCTGGAAGGTTTACACGGTCTGTGATCCTGCTCTGACCAAAGTCAGTGATTTAATTTGTAGTGTAGGAAGTGGTTTAGAATAGTGTTTGTGTTTTCTTCTTTTTTTTTTTCTTTTAAGGAGTAAAAGGTTGCACAAACTGCCAGGAACTACTGAGATTTTTTTAATTAAAAAAAAAAAGAAAAAGAAAGATTAAAAGCCAAACTCCAAAGGTCAGGAGACTATAACAACTGACAAGAAGTATGATCTTAAGGAAGATTATACTCTGGTGGAGCTATGAATGATGTTAAGGACACTGTTTTCTGAAGGAATTAAACTGTATCAAACCACTATGTTTATTCTGCATGACAGCAATAAATTGAAATATTTTAGAAGTCAAATCTAGAGCAGACAGGACACTGTTGAAAAGTTGGTAGTTAAGTCTCAATACTTGAGTTTCTCTGTAGCTGTTCTTACTTTGCCTTGTCACTTGTGTGCTTGACCATCCAGATCCCTTGTGGCTTCTGCCTCTTCTGCTACCTGGGAGTATGCTCTTACCATATGCTTAAAGATTTCTACACTGCCTCTGTTCCTTGGCTTTGTTTGCTTTTCCTTCTCTTGCCTCACTGGAGCTGCATCAGAGAAGAATGTAAATTGTCATTAATAAAATCTCATATACAAGGGACACTTTGGTTTTAGTGTACAAAACTTACCTTCCTTTGAGGAAATTTGGGTTGTTAGGCCATTAGTAAACAGCCTGTCTCTTTATTTTAGGGAAGGCCTGTGGATTTTCCTCCCTCAAAATTAAAGACAGGCTGCGGTGAGCAGGTGTGCTATGTTCTTGATTGTTTAGCTGAAGAAGCCTTGAAACACACTGGGTTTAGCTGGAAAAGGTACAGTACACTTCTAAGCATCCTCCCTTATGCTTTGATTTCCAGCAGACAGATGTAAGTTGTAGTGGTAAGATAAAACAGAGGAATGACTAAAAACATTTTACTTGACATTTCATGAGATGGAAAAGTTAACTAGGCTTGAAGCAGGGTGACCAATTAATTCCTAATGCAATTTCACACAACTGGCCTGTTGTCAGCAAGGCTGAGTTTGAACCGTTATAGACTTTGCTAATTAAGATTTAACTGATGACTTTTTTTGGGTGTTGTTATTTCCCTACACATAACTCCTTGTTAATCTGATATTTAAGTTGAAACATGTAATGCCCTTTTAGGTTCTGTCAATCATTTCTTGGGTTGTGCCCAATATGATCATGTTACAAGTAGACTAGAGTAATTTTATTTAATCTGAAGGAAATCTTAGGACAAATTACACGACAGATAATCTCAAGTATATGAAAATGTCTTTAAAAGTGTTCTTTATTTTATTATTTTCTTCCAGTGGGTTTTGAAATGGACATAGGAAAATAATTTCTACCTAGGAAATATTTTACTATTACTTCTCTTTAGTACACAAATTCCACTGCAGGCTGCAAATAAGCCTATGGTGACTTGCACTTGAATTTTAAGAGCTTAGACCAATAGAGAAAAACCCCAAAATTTACTTCCTAGATGACTTTGTAGTGCAAATGTACTGTCCTGCCTTTACTTTTAAGACAGTCCAAGATGAACAAGACTTTCAAGGCAGAGTATATATTTATTTCAGTTGTGAAAATTAATCACTGTCTAGGTGTGTTCTATATCATCCATTTTTCTCATGAAATGCTTTGTTTGCAGAGGTATTTACAATTTATTGTGTTTAAAAGCTCTGCTCTTCTTTGAATTAATTTCAGGCCAGCATACCCAGCAGAAGAGCCAGAAGAAGAAGAAATAACAGAAGATGATGCAGAATTAACACTTAGTAAATGGGAAGAGGATGTTGCAGTAGGTTTATTTGGTATATTAGTATTGGTCAACTATGAGGAAATATTTATTCACTGTTCATTTTGTTTGGCTTTGTTTAAGAAGCCTTTTCAATTAGCTGTTTAAGTTTTTTTCCTGCAGCTCTATTCCTGCATTGTCAGATTCTCTCTAGGGTTTTTTGTTGCTTTTCAGATAAGATTAACTCTTCAAGACAGAGTGTATGTTCTTATGTGCAGTGGAATCTAACTATGCATTAAAAACACAGAAATTCAGAATTGTTTCTTTTCTACTGATAAATCTACTCTCGATGTTAAACTAAAGGGTTAAAATAGGAAAACAGCTGTCTGCTCTTTTCTCTATCTTGTTAAGGTCTAAGCTTCTTAAATTGGGAAGTGGGGATGAAACAGTTAACTAAAGCACAGTTTAAATCCTTCAAAGAATCTCTGGGTTTGTTCTCAGGTATTGTCCTAGGCCATGATTTTCATAACTAATGTGTTCTTTTAACTCTTTGGAATGTATGTGTGTTAATAAAACACTGAGGTGTTATTCCTTTACTAGGTATTGCATTACCAGGCAGTTTATACCAGAAGGATACTCACTTTTTAGAGCCCCTAGTAGTTCTACAGGGATTAATTACATGCCAATGTAATTTTTTTCCCAGTCCATTGTTGCTGCCAGTATATTGATATTAGCTGTATCCATAATTGAATTTAGCAGTATTTTCAGCAATTAAATCTTAATGATGCGGTTCACTGATTGTTCTTTCGTTTTGAGTCTTCTGAATAAAAATGATGAGGCTGACAGAGACAAGCCTAGCAGGGATAGCCTGTATTAGGTGGCCAGCAGTAGGCAGTGAGGCTGGGTGTGCAAGGACATCTGCACAGTCTGGCTTCTCACTTCTGATAACCAGTCTTCTTGTTCTGGTGGTGTGTTCTTCCAAATGCTGCGCAAATATGTATTGACCATTAGCAAAAGATAGTCTTCATATAGTCTTAATTTCTCGCAAGTATTCAGGGGACTCGGGGTCAGACATGCCAGAAGAAAATAGTGGTCCCTGTTAGTTAAAAACGGGGTAAAGTAGAGGAAAGAGAAATAAGCTGTCAGGTTTTCAGTGAGTCTTGAAGGATTTTACCCTAAGACCTGTGTTATTGCAGCTTTTGTGATTTGTGTAGAAAGGAGGTGGATGATAAAATTTCACTTTGGTGGAAAAGAGTCAAGAGGGGGACAAGGTGTATAAGGGTGAAGTGTCTGGGTGATAAAATGGCAGATGAAATACAGTATAGAGAAATGAAGGTTAATGCACACAAAAAGCATCGTTACTTATGGGTGATGAGCTCTCAGGTGATCATACTCACAGAAGAAGGGGATTTTGAGACTATAACAGATTCATAGAGTACATGAACATGGTGTGTGGTCTCATGGGCAAGAAAAAAGCAATTGCCTCAGTTTCAGTTGTGTTACTCTGCACACTTAAGATGTGGCATCATTCTGTAACTTCAAATACATTGTGCAAACAATATCTTGAAAGCTGTGTTGAGGTCTCGTTGTGGTTTGGTTTTTGTTTTGATGGAGCTTTATTTTTAAGGTAGAGCTTTAAGAAATACATAAAAAATACAATTAACATACAACTATGATAATGGGCCATTTGATGTCAGAGGCTTTAGGGTTTGGGTTTTGTTGGTTAGTTGGTTTATTTTTGTAATACTCTTGAGCTCTGAAGGAAATATGGGGTAGCTTTGGTCTTCCAGCTTGTCCCAGGTACTATGTCTCTTCATAAGCTCCATATCATAAATTCTCCATGTCTTGTTTTGTTCAGAAATGTGGACCTTAATACTTCTTGGTTTGTTCTCCTGCAAAATAAAATTTTAGAGAAAGATTGTGCAATAGTTACTGAAGTCTTGCTTTGAAACTTCTCTTAAGGAAGAAGAGTCAGACAATGAAGAAAATTATATTGACCTGAATGTTTTAAAGGCACAAACGTACAGATCAGTAAGTTTTACCCATTAGTCCTCTCATCAGAGATTTTTACATCTGTAGCAGCAATTTGTGTCTGTTGGATTTAAATCTTAAAATCCTTGTATAGTCTTTACTTGAAAAAAACAAACATCTGAAATGAATCAGATGTTATATATTAATATTATTTTGAAAGAACAATGTGTAGCCAGTTTCTAAACTGATATCACTGAAGGGCTGCTGGGAACATTTGCAAGAAAGTTTTTGCAGAGACTTCTAGAGAAACAAATTTAATCCCCCATACATACTCCATTTCTGAGATGTATTATAATTTCTTAATTTAATTTAATTGTCTTCAGTTTTAAGTATAATGAGAATCTTTATGAACTCAAAGAAAGCCATTAAAGAAATCTGTTTAATCTGTTGTCTAGATCATTCTGGATATAAATATTTTTCTAATATTAACACTGCAAGCCATTATAGTGATTTCATTGCATAACAGTAATATTTTGTGTATAAACTTTGGGATTTTTACACAGAACATGAATGACACTGCAAAGCAAGAAGAGATTTTACAGTCCACAACAGATGCAGCAGAGTGGAATCTGGAAGTGGAACGTGTGCTTCCACAGTTGAAAGTCACAGTCAGGACTGACAATAAGGTATGGAAGAATGGATTTGCTTGTGTACATATAGTGATTAAAATGTGATTTCAGTCAATGCTGTTAACTTTCCATTTGCAGTTGTTGTCATCCGTCATGCAAAGACCTGTGAGTGATGGGCTCTCCAGTGCTACCTTCTCTGAACCTCTGTCACTTGCTTTGACCCTAGAAGCAATAATTTTCAGTCGTGTTTTTTCAATATTACATATTTTTTTTCTGCTGTTTACAAGGCACCTTATTTCTATATATTTATTCAGTGGGGATTTTTTTCAGTCCTCTGACACTTCCAATGTATTCACACTTCTAAAAATTATATCCTCAGTTTAACAACTATTAAAACTTCTTCTTGGAGGATAGCTGATGATCTTACCTTTCAACTCTTCCATTTTTTAACCACATGGAAGGCTGATAGTATGGAATTTCTCATGGTGAACTTTACATGACAATCAAGTAGGTCTCTACCCTGGTCTAGTCATCCTGAACTCTCCTAATGTTTAGTGAGAAGAAGTGATCATTTTTTCAACTGCTTTTGCTCACCATATCCTGGTAACTGTCTCAGGGTGAAATTAATCATGTGTTAGAACTCCTGGCATTGCCATAAGCATTCTTCCCAGGAGCTTGTGTAACACACACAGATCAGTGCAGTATTGAAATTGTTCATTTGCAGTGACCCAGGTAGTTGGAGTGTTGGAGCAATCTGCAGCACTCATACAGCAATACAATACATATACATGAATACAATGAAACCTTGCCAAAAATAGGGGAAACCTTCAACTGTCTGCTGAGCTGCTTGCCTGTCTTGCACCATACTGTATTTTTCTGTGTGAGGAATTGCCTGGCTTGAACCACTCTACTGTGATCCTCAGCAAGCCCATCTGTTGCAGAGAACATGATGCTTGAGTCTCACAGTGAGGAATTAAAACTTAATAAAGACATGGATGAAAAATTAAAGCCACTGTAGGATCTGAGGTTTACTAGCTTCCCGCTTAATGCACCATCTCTTTGCATGAAGGAATATGTCCAAATGAACATAAAAAGAGGATTTTTCTTCTTCTAGCTTCTTTCAGAAATAACTGGAGAGAAATGTTTGGCCTTTTTCCATTGTGCCAGAAAACATATTCTGTTTCCTAAGCTGTGCATGTAAACCTAGTACCAGGAGAGTATTAATGGTTTAATCAATGGCACTAGAAACTAGAACTTATTGTAAAGTCCTGGACAGAAGTGGGGGTGGTTTGTGTACCTGTTGTTTTTATTTAAACTCCAAAATTTGGCAAATTGTGAGCAATTATCACCAGACCAACAAGAGATCATGAGTCTCCTGCACATGTGAAACAACGTAAGCACATTTTCTCTAGTAACTCATTACCTGGTGTGCAGGGCCAATTCACAGCACCTTTTCTCAGCCCCCACCCTGGAGTCCATGTGTGCTTCCTATGATCTTGAAGCTGGAAATAATTTTCCCCTTTCTAAATGTATCCTGTTACCAAAACTAAGTTTTGGTATTTCTGCCTCTTCTTCTTTCCATTCTTTTCCTGGTAACAGTAATGACTGAAATAGAAAGGAAAGAACAGATAGGCCAGAATTGGTAGGTGTTGGGCATCAAAAGCAGTCATTTTGTCTAAGAATAAGCTGAACTAGTGCAGCTAAAATCAATATTTTTAGTATTTGTGCCCACAGTGGTTTCTAGCAGAAATAGCTCCATGAAGATCAGACTCTAAAAAGCATAGCTACTATGGTGTCAGTGAGGATGTGAGTGTTTGTTTATGGATCAGAGTGTCACATGTGACATTTGGGAGATTTATAAATTATGTCACATTGAGCCAGTGCCCCTGGCTATGAACATGGCAGTGTCAGGATGATACATGGCAATAGTACAAAAGAGAACTGACCTGCTTTGCATACATGCCGTTGTTTTGTAAGCAGAGAAGGATAAAAATCGTACTTACCTGTGTTTTAATTTGTGATGCCTTTTTTAGGATTGGAGGATTCATGTAGATCAAATACATCAGCATAAGGATGGAATTGATTCTTCTCTGAAAGAAACTAGGGTATGTCTTGTATGTACAGAATATTTTACTAATCTGTCAGCATTTTTATTTTTTATTTGATATGCATTAAGAACTAAATTGATCTTTTTTTTCCTTCATTTTATTTGTGCTATTGCTGTAAAATTAAAAAGGGAATTATATGGCAATGATCGTTAAGGACAGTGCTGGTGACAAAATACCTTCTGGGAAGGAGTTGTCTGTGTGAGGATTAACAGGGCTATCAGGGTCCGGTAATGAATGCATTACTGTAAGTGCATCCTGACTAGAGGACAAAATAGAATAATACAATCTGAAGGTGCTGTTAAATCCCCCAAATACTCTCAAATACTGTTGCTAGAGTAACTTACTGACATTGACTGACACTTGTAATTAATTGAAGAGGGGAGAGTGATGAAGCAGTAAAGGCTGAAATATGTGTTTTGGAGGTGGGCAAACCAGAACACATTAGGAATAGCTTTTCTTGGCTAAACACAGTATTTCTGTACTATTTTTCTCTCTGTCTGTAGGCTCCCATAGCCTTTCTTAACTACAGCATCATTTTGATACTCTTTGCATACTGTCTGTATACTGTTAACCCACAGAATGTGATTTTCTAGGGATACCTTGATAAACTCCATAATGAAATCAGCAGAACACTGGAAAAGATCAATAGCAGGGAAAAGTACATCAACAACCAGTTGGAGCACTTGGTTCAAGAATACCGTTCAGCACAAGCCTTGCTGAGTGAGGTATTGCTGATCTTTTGTTGTTGCCTTCCCCAGTATTAACTTGCTGTTAAGTGAGGGTAGAGGCAAAGACGACATGGAGTGAGCTGTCTATGAATTCTGCTGTTGGATATAAAGCAGGGGAAATCTTGATTGGCTGTCAAATTATATTCTTCCTAAGCTAAACTAGCAATTTTTATTCAACTGTTCTGCAGGGGAAAATACATGGTTTTGCCTGAGTATTATGTATAGCTGTTGCCAGTCTTAAGCAGCTAGTAAATTGCTGGTTCTGCTTTCCCTGTGAAGTTCACACATCTGTCAGGAGTGGAATAACTACAGTCTCAGTCCAACATTCATCCCTTAGATTTGAGTACTGGTGCTAACGCAAACAAAGCACTCTGATTACTTTGCTTCATTTAGTTTTTATGTTAATAGAGTGCTGTCTGAGAAGCTTTTTGATCCCCTATTTAGGAAGCATTACAATCTGCCTTTTGGCAAGCCCTCCTGGTTGTGGCCATGCTGACAGTAATGCTGACAGAATTTGACCTCTGCACCTTCTGTTTGCCTTGTTGTTTAGGTATCTTCAAGATAGTAATTTTCTGTTGATGAAGTATTATTCTGGATTTCAGTATTCAATCCTTTCTGCATTATGGCATATTTTCTTCATGTTTATTTTCTCATGTAAATGATTAGAAAGCATAGTTCTTATCAAGTGTGTATTTGGACTATTTACTGCTTTACATTTTTGAATTATAGTCATTGCAAGGGCTGATGTTTCAAGCCTGTCCTCATTTGTAAACCTCACTGGGGCTTTGTGGGAGAGTTTCTGGAATTGAAACATATGAGAGCAAGTATTGAAGTTTTCTCTGAACTATCTGCATCTCTTCAACTCTGTCATTACAGCCAAGACTTGTTTTTTTCCAGGCTAAAGAGAAGTACCAGGAGGGAAGTGGAGGAGTAACTGAAAGGATCAGAGTGCTTTCTGAGGTAAAACACATCTTACTTTAAAACAGTCTTCAGAGAGTTGGCATTTAGTTGTTGCAGTTTAATGAAACCAGTTCTCTCTGATTGTTCTCATGTTAAGATTATTCTTTGGGGGAGTTGATCTAGTCCAGTCCCTAAGTTTTAAATCCAGTCTGCCATTGTTTTTTAATTCCTGAAATGTGAGCTCAGTTTGTAAATGAAGCTATATGTTCTGTATTTTATAACCTGTGTCCTAGAATTATGGGGATTAATAAATCATGCCCATCAATTCTTTGGAAGAAGAAAAGCTTAACTCCTATTTTTAGTTAAAATTAACAGTTTGAAATTTTTATCTTCCAGGCACTTAAAAGCAATATTTGACTAAATAGTAATTTTTTCCATACATTATCTTATTACCTAAATCTGTTTTTTTTTGTTGTGGATTTTCTCTTTTCCTTTATATCAGTGCTCTGACAAATTTAAATAAACATCTGTCTCCTAACTGCCTCACCATGTTCAGTGTTGCATGACATTTTGTTTAGAATTACCACCTGATATCCAAATACTTCAACTCTTTATCCAATTCACAAATTTTTTAATGGCTCTGTTTGGGTTTTAGAAACCAGCTTTACTTATTAGACAATGAAGTCTCAGGAACAGTTGCATAAAGTAGGTCATACAACAAGAATGTGTTAGAAATTGTACAACAAGTTTGAGATGTTTTAGAACAGACAGAACAGTTGAGTTGGAAGGGACCTACAGTGATACTAAGTGCAGCTGCAGTAGGTGATACAGCAGTTTAATGTCAGTTTTCCAGCAGAGATTTCTGAGTGTATGAATTCTGCAGAATTAGAGTTGCTTTCTAGTTCGCTCTCAAGGAAGTAAGTTTGAAAAAGTATTTTGTGATGACTTCAGATTTACAGTGTGGACTTTGGGAGCTGATTGACTGATAAGTAATGGTGAATATGTTACTAGCTGGCATCCTTCAAAACTACATTGGTGCAGTGGTGCATGTCTGAGGTAAAGCAGACACATTAGCTGTTAGTACTGATCTGTTTTCAGGTGTGCAATCAAGACCTCAGCCCACCTGCAATACCAGTACCACTGCATGCATGCAGTAACAATGCAGCAGTGATTCCTTTTTGTTGCTGAAAAGGCTTATTGAAGCCTTAATGAAGGGCTATTTTCACATTATCAACAAGAATACTGAATTATTATCTTGGCTATACTTTAGAATCATGTATTTGCTTTTTTCATTGTCTGCAAAGGCAAACTAGTTCCTGGACAGTGCTGAAATGCACTTTTGTTCTTCAAATGTGGATTTTACATACCTGTGCCAGTGCCAGCAGGCTGGACTGCTGCACCTTCTTATGCTGCAGTGCTGTTTCTTAGGTTTCCAGTGTAACATGCCACAATCCTGATGCTTCCAGAAGAACAGTGTGCATGGTTATTTGATTAATTGTGATCTGTAGAGATATTGGTTCCTTTGTTCTTCCATCCAGTGTCACACTGAAACACTTACATTGTTGGTTTTTATTGGGGATGCACAGATTTTCAGTAACACCATGGTGTTTGGTCACATTGTTACCCTTTTTCTGTAATTTTTTCTGTAATGTAACAACATTAAATTAGTTAAATTAGTTAAATTAGAAATTTCTGAATGTTTGAAAAATCATTCCTCTATATAACAAGTAAAATGGATTAGTTATTTTTTTTTTAATAAAAGCAGTTATTCAGCAGAGACTTTTTAAAAAATTCTATATTAATCTGGTTTAATTAAGGAAAAACTCTCTTAAGATTACAGAAACATTAGAGAAAGTAAAGCAGGAAACAGAAGAGAAAGGAAGCAGTATGACTGATGGTGGTAAGTACACTTTTGCTTCAGACAACACACCCTTGGTGACAATTTCATGATATGTACTTCATTAAAATAAGAATAAGAGCAATTACAAGGAGCAAGATGATGCAGCAGCATCATATTCATGGCAAGAGAGGGGTTAGAAACAAAATATAAGGCACAAAACATTTTAACAGCTTTTCACAGGTAAGATTCTCACACCCTGCTGAAGATGTCTTCAGTTCTCTACCAAACCTCAAGTCAGCTATGGGGATAAGGCTTTCAGCTGAGCAAAACGCATCATTGAAAAAGCTGTCTTAATGTTGATGCACATTTTTATGAAGCTCTTAGATGTCAAGAAGACAGCAAAATTGTCATTGCCTGTTTCTGTCTTTAAAGTGTTCTGCATATTAGAAATGATGTATCAGTACAATCATGTCTTTAGAGTACAACACCCTTTTGTTCTTTCAACTCTTCCATTTTAAGGAGTAAATTACAGCAAACAATGCTTTTGTGTTACGTGGCTGACAGAGTTGTACTGTTTATCTTTTTTTGGACAGCTCCTCTAGTGAAGATTAAACAGGCCTTAACAAAATTGAGGCAAGAAACCATTCAGATGGACATACAGATTGGTGTGATGGAACACACATTGCTCCAGTCAAAGCTGAAAGAGAAATCCAATATGACTAGAGATATGCATGCAACAGTGATTCCAGAAACCACAGTAGGTGCCTATTAAAATTGGTTGGACCTGACTTGATTGCCCAAAATGCAGTTTTCTACTGTTTGCTTTTTTGTGAGTTCAGAGGTTTTGTTTATTTTGCGGTAGAAGGATGATTTTTTTTCCTCTTCCTTTTGAACAAGACACTTGTTAAAAGATGGACTTTTTAAAGAAGTAATATGCACACTTTAAACTCAAGAGGGAGCCATGTTTAGTTTTGTGCTGTAAAGATTTACTGCATATCTCTTCCAAATAAACTAATAAATTCTTGTTAGTGAAGATGTCTCTGTTTCTTTGGAGAATGTTATGTAGTGTGAATGTCTGTAGAATGATGCTGACAGCCTTTAATCTTGATACTCTGCAGTGCTGAAAGGAAATTGCTTGTAAAGGACTTGAAAGGAAGGTAAAATGTCTGTCATTGCCACTTACGTACATTTAGAGAAAGTGTTTAATTAATGCTACTGAAATAATACAGCATTACCCTTTCTAACAAGCTAGGTCATAACTGATATCAGCTGCAAGACTCCTCTAACATCAGCATCAATATCAAAATCTATATAAGACCAAAGAAGGTGAATAGTCTTGTTCGGAAATTACTCCTGGCTTTCTGATTTTTTTCCCATGTGCCATCACATTTTCAGAATCACTTTATATTATCATTGGGTCAAATGTTGCTTTCATTTATAGTATTTAGAAGAGCTCTGTGGACCAGATTTGGATTATTCTTGTTTTCTGTTCTTGTGTCAGAACACCCACCTTTGATTTCTGTGAAGGAAAAATGTTGCCAAATCTAGTTGAGTAATACAGAACAAGAAGAAAAATGTAGGAGGAAGGGGTTGGGAATGTAATGGCAACAGAGAGCTTGCTTTGTCTTAGTAAATGTGTAGGTAGAGAGTGATTCTAGATGTTAGTGGTAATGAAGGAGTATGGAGCAAAGAAATAACCTTATTAATGTACTGGTACATCCTTTTGGTTCTGGTTGTTCATGAGCCATAAACAATATCAGTACAATTGCAGTGGCATTAAAATCCTTGCTGAACTTCTGCAGGCTATTAATTTCATCTGACAAATAATTTCTCTCACTTAAATGTGAGCAGTATTTTGCAGAATCAATGAAACAGTTCTGAGTCTGAAAGTCAAGAGACTTGACACAGTCAGTGCTATGAGCCCATATAAGTTTGTTGTGCTTCAGTATTTCATTTGCCAAAAAAGAAAAAGCTCTAAACCTATTGGATTTAAATAAGCAAAAAGATATCTGTAAATGTCAACTATTACAATTTACCTGTGCAAGCCACTGCTGAAAATCTCTATGAATCACACTGGAAATTGGTTTCCAGCTCCTTTTGCTGCCTACCTATATCCTCCCACATTCAGCTGAAATTAGAAAAGTTATTATTCATGTTCCCTTTGTTAGGTGCTGTTGCTACTGCATATTTACTTTAACAGTGGCTTTACTTCAGCTTAAGGTGGAGCAACTCCTTTCTGCATTGCCTGCAAAGCAGCTCACTGATGCTTTTGGATTGCAATGTTGTGTTGTATAAATGTTGTTTATGTAAACGCTTTCCTCAAAAAAACTCCTCCTTCATGCTAATACAGCAAACATAATTAACTAAAAAAAACCTTTCCTTATGAACTGAGCCTCTTATTCTATTAGAAGTGAATCTGTTAAGACAAGCATGGCAAAAAATCCTCTAATGTGACAAAAATCTCCAAAAGAAAAGCCTCCTTTGTGCCAAAGTAATTCTAAAATAGCGTGCTAATTATCTGGAATTGATCTACATTATTTTATCATACTGTCTGAAACTGCTGTCATTTAAGTTGAACAATTCTGTTATCACTGGTATCAGTGATACATGGCCTTTAATTGTCATCTGGCAAAGAGTGGCATTTGTCCCTTGAGACAGTTAAAGCACTTGACCCTACTTTGAAAGCAGCCTTACTGATCTGGCGTGTGGCCACATCATCTTCCTTAAGAGCAGTGAGGCCTGTCACAAGCAGCCTGAAAGGCCCTTCTAGAGAAGCAAAGATCTGTGTAATTAGTCCATGGCTGAATCAGTGCAGGAAGCAGAAGCCACATTAAAATTGAATCACTTGTTTCACATTACGCCCTGCATTGCTCATTATCTAATGCAGTGTCAGAATGGAAGACCAATAAAACAAAGATTTCCGTAAGTTAGTAGGGTGCACATAAAGCTGTTCTATAAAAAGAGTCTCTCCTCAACTGGGAGAGGATTTAGGAAAGGACTTGACTATTTACAAGAGTTAACTTTTGTGTACAGCTGTCCTCTTCCAAAGTCTCTTAAAATTTTCAGTTCTCTGGAACATCAGTATGGAGGCATTTTCAGATTTTACCTAGAAGCTGAGTAGAAGCTGGCTGTAGACAGACCCAGAAATCGTGCAGAGAGAGAATGAAGAAGCTTCATTTGCTCACTTTGTTTAGAGAAGCCATGGGGTTTGTCCTTGCCATGAAGGCTGCAATAGTTCTGTCTTGTATGTGGCCCTGGTATGAGCGGACCACTGAAATACCTCTGGACCTCATAACATGATCCAATATGTTATTTACCTGTCTTTTGTCTAGGCTGGGAACTAGAAATAGTCTTAGTGCTAGGTACTCTATTAGAGGTGCTGTTTATAGGCCATTTAGGATACCTGAGAGTGATTACATGCATCACCTTTTTACTTTAATAAATATAATACCCCACTCCCCATTCTCTTCTTATGTCAGCAGATAGCATGAATTGCTGTGCTGATAAAAAGCACAGGATAAAAAGGGACATTTTTTAACCTTTTAATCCATTTCTCTCACAGAGAACCTTCTAGAGTTGGTGACTTAACACTGAAATCACAAGAGTTTAAAAGTGGCTTTCAATCATATTCCGATAATTCATTGTTTCAGCACTGAGTCATATTAATCATTTGAACTTGCATTTCTGAGTGCTGTGCAGGAAGCTGGATGATTTCACGAGTTTGAGAAACCACTGTTATAAACAACTCCCAGATCTGGTCAAAATATTCTCACTCCTGTCTGCTGATGGCATTAAAGGCCTTCCCCTTTTCACCCACCCAAAGGGGGAACTTCAGGGAAAATTTTTTCTTTAAAGGGAAAACCTTTATGTCCACCTACTTTAAACTTTGCCACTTTTTTTGGAGTACAGCTCTACTGTTCACTGTGACATAAAAAAAATTGTTAGTATTGCCAATTGTAAGTTACAGTAAGAGCAAGTAAGTCATCTGTACATGACCTATAAAAAAAACTAAGCATAAATGAAGAGCCTGTCTGTGAACAGTTCCAGCTTCTGTGCTCTTTGAATTTTGCATCCAAATTTTGCATCCTGGGCTTCTCTCCAAGTTTGACAAATGTTAATTAGAAAAAGGAGTTGGTTGATGCTGTGCTGCCACGCTGGCTGCGTGCCCATGTGGGGATGTCAATGCTGCAGTGTAACCCCACAAGGCAGCTGCGTGTGCATGCGCACAGGCCTGTGCACACGCTGTGCTGACCTCTCCTGGGGCTGGCACCAGCAGCAGAACAACATGCCTGTGAAAACCCTGCCCTACTTCCTGCAGCCTCACTGCTCTCCCTTTGCTTATGGATGGATTCGTGTTTTAGGAAATGGTTGGGTGATACCTGGCAAAGGCATGAAATGCTAATCAGTGCCCATGAGGTTAAAGTACACAGAGGGATATGAACACCGGCTTTTCTGCATGAATAGTGCAGGGACTTTCCACAGAAGGCTTGGAGATAGCAGAGGTTATTTTCATCTGCCATTTCCTCATTTTGATGTATTTTTTCATTGAGCAAATGCCATTACCAGGGCTTTCTCATGTATTAGCTAATACTTAGCTATTGCTCCAGGGCTTGTTGTTGCTGGAAATGTCTGTCTTTCAGCCTCCTAGTAACAGCCCTACCATTTCACAATTATTCCCACGCAACACTGGAATGAGCAGGGTTGAGAGTAAGTAATGATTTCAATAATGCTAGTCTTTCACTAACTGCCTAGTTTTACTCTGTACTTTTTCATTCCTGGTCTTAGTAGTTAGGATTGGCTGTATTTCAGTACTCCATCCCAGAAGTAGCTGAGATACACACATGTATCCTGTTGTAAAAATCAACAAAGGTGAATATTTTAAGGTCAGAAGAACAGAATAATTATTTCTAATAATATTCCTCTTGATAATGCACTAATTGCAATTGTTAATTGAAAAATATTTTCCTGTTTCTGTGGTTTTCAAAGGATGACAATACTTCAAATTATATTAGTGTTATTCAATAGTAACACAAAGAATTAAACCGTGAAGTGTAGGCATCCCCTGGACAAAAAGTTTCCCATCCCTCCTCTAGTTCTAGGGCAGAAGTTTCTTGTAGTATCTTGGCTGGAGAGCTCTCGTAAGGTTTTAGAGCGCTCTCCCTATCCTTCTTCAGCATGGCTTGTCCATGAGCATTTTGCCTCCCTTCAAAGAATCAATTTGGGAAAGAATATAAGCCAGTAATCAGACCAAAAGGGACAGGTTGTTTGTGAAATTTTCCTGGAAACTAGTGCCAAAAAATGGTGCAGAAGGTTTCAAAAGGTTTGACAGCATCTGTTGAACATAATTTCCTTTGTTACAGGAGGTGCTCAAGTTCCTGGTAGATGGCAGGAAGAACTTCTGCTGAGTTTATCAAATGTGGTCTAACAACAGTAAAAACAATGAAAATTGTGATCTTAAAAGTGTAATTCATTAATTTTGTAGTAATTTGTCCAGCAGCCATTTCACCACAGCCTTCTGTAGAGTGCCTATAAACTCAAGTAAAACATTCTTGAAGATTTTCATCATCTTCAGCTATATAATATTGACAACAAAGTAAAAAAAATACTGTTCTGAGAAGACTTTTCCTGGGACAGATGATTATACTCTACGTATGTCAAGCATGGCAGGTTTGGAGGGTTTTTTCTATAAGTAGTCCAGTCTGTTGACTTCTGTTTGAATATGGACATACCTGTTAATATGTTTGGGTTTGTGAGAACTCTTATTGAAAAAAGGAATACAGGTAACTGTGTTAGAGAAGAAAAACAACTGAAAGCCAATTCGGTTTTCTCTCGGTTGTGAACAGGATTGATAAACAGGTAACAAATTCATGTGGATCGAATGAAAGAGCTTCCTTTAAAAAGCTCTTCCATACTATCTTGGCTTAAGTGTACATAACATGCCTTTGCTTAGTTTTATTCCATTTGTTGCTACTAGTCAGTCTTCATCTCTGAAGTGCACAGTGTACTCCTCTCCAAATAATTGGAAGTTTTGGACGTTTCTCTCCAAATAATTGGAAGTTTGACAACCCGACCTGAACATAACAGATGTGGTCAGTCCATCTGAGCATCTGCTAAGCTGGGTGGAGCTGACTTGGTGTGTCTGTAGAGTGCCACCTGTGAGCAGCCACAGCTGACACTGATCCAGTGTGCGTGTCAGGCGATAAGAAGCAGGAAGCTGGTCCCACTTCCTGTCAGAGAAACCGCAGCCTTTAGGGTGCTTGTCTCCTGGAGGAGACTGCAGAAGGCTGGACAGACTGAATTTGCTACTACAGCTACATACAGAGGGAAGGTGAACACCATGGGGCTTGTCCCTTTACCCTCCTGCTAAAAGCAGCTAACCAGAACTCTGTGTCCCAGAGATTGCTTTAATCAGGGGGAGGAGGAAGTGATAAAGAAGCCAAGTGGTAACTTTTGTGCCTAGAATGAATCAAACAAACAGCAGAAAGTAAAACATAGAACCTGCTCACAAATACAAGTATTCTTCTTGGATTGATCTCTTGACTAATTTTGGGGGTCATGCTAAACATTCTGAGTAAGGATGGGCTTTCCTACCTCACCTGTGTTTTTTCAGATCTTCACCACCTCTCTCTTTTATATATTATACCTTTATGCCTGAAGCCTCAGAATTTAGGCTGGATTATTTATCTCTGTCTGGTGGACAGACATTTTTATGTTGCACTTTTCAAAACCATCTGTGTCTGGAAAAAAACTTCCTTTTTATCTGCACCAGAAAGAGTTGTATTGATACCCAGAGTTTCAAAGCAGTTTAACTTGACCTTTACCAGCATAAGGTTTGGCTAGGAGGAGCAAAGCTTTCATTTGTGAGAAAAAGTTTTTCTGTTCAGTGGTGGAAGAAAAGAAGAAGTGGAAAAAGATATGGCCAGACAATGTATCTTCTAGAAAGCTGTAATATTTCCTGCAGCACCCAGATTTTTATGCTGTGCCAACATACTGTCTCTCTAAACACCTGAATTTGGTGTTCCTGATTGTAGCAGAGTGACCCCAACATAAACCTTGAAGAATATAGCAATGAGCAAGACCCGTGGCATACAGCAAGATCTTTCAGTGCTCAACTGTAACTAAGTCTGCATTTGAGATGAAGCATGTCATTTATTTTTCAGAGACTTAGAATACAAAATACCAGTTTATCAGTGTGAAGGTCCTTCTGACCAACAGCAGATAAAGCTTTACTGTGATGCAGAAAATGCAATAACAGTAAAGGGTTGTTAAGTCTTTTCATGACAATCCACCCTATATTTCATCCCAGAAAATGCTGATAGCTCCTTTGCACTGCGTCTTAAGTGTGCCAGCTCTATTATACAGATCCCAATCTTTAAACCATGCTTTGGCAAATGTATCCTTTGTGGCACTTGTGTGATCAATTATGCTTTACTCAGTGCTGTGATTGTTTACAACGCACCACAGTCTTCTACGGCATGTGAAGACACATTTATTACAGACAATGGTGCCAGTGGTGATCTGTTCTTATTGGCCATTTCAAAACAAAAGCCAGACAAAAAGGCATCTGTTTTCAGTGGCTGGTCAGGTTAGTACTGAAAGTCTCTTCTTGGTGCTTTTCACCCTGTGTTGGAATACAGCTGTCAGTGCTCAGGGGCCCCTTTCACAGAGGGCTACCTCCCTAGAAGAGCTGCTGTGGACTCAAGACTAATTCTAGCACTGACCTGCCTTTCACAAGCTGTTCAGGCAAATCTTTACACTGAGTCATTAGAGCCCTACAAATGGTATACAGTTAAACATCCAAAAGCGTCAAAATGAGTCATATTTTTCAAGTGACAATTGCTATTTTGAGTGACTGTTTTGCATTATACTTACCAGGACATGCAGGAAACAAGAGTGTCTAAGCTTTCCTGCTGCTCATGGTTCCTAGCACGTGACCAGCCAGGGCAGTTATATCACTGAGCCACACCTTGTTTTTACTCAGAAATCATATTCCCAGACATACATATCACTTTATCAGAAGGAAGTGACTCTGGACTTCTACAGAAAGTTGTTTCAGGAAAAGAAGGGGCTTGCTTTCAGTGGCCAGCCTGACTTGCAGACAGTACACCCTCTGCCTTGGAAAGAGCTGAAAATGGAACGAGATTCTACAGGTATCTGCAACACTACCAGCATGCAGAGGGAAGAAAGGCAGAGTTAAGGACATGGTAGAAGTGACCATTCCCATGGATTGCCAAATTGGAAGACAAAAGAAACACAAAGAAACAGTTGGACATGCTCATGCAGAAAAACAACCCCAAAAAGGAAATGGTGAGGCTGCAACATGGGAAGAGTCATCAGTAGTTGGAGGAGCATGTCTCTGTCACGCAGAAGGGCAGAAGGGATTTCTGATTTGCAGAAAAAAGCCAGCAAGGAAGAAGATAGCACTGGAATGAGCATATTTGCTATGAGAGTGAAAAGTGAGAGAAAAGCACACAATAAGAAAAAGGTACAGCTCATTCAAGGAGGTAAAAAAGAAGTATTGAGGGTAAGACTGATAAGGAATGGAAGTTCTCTACAGCCTTAACGTAAGTTAACACAAGTCACAGGACATTCCCACCAGCCTGCGCACATACACAAACACAACAAATAAACAAACAAACAAACCTGTTTACCACAGTCAGCTACCTTTGGTGTCCAAAAGCCACAAGAAGAAATGAAATAAGGAGAGGAGAAAAAATGGGGGAGTGAAAAGGTTATGTTAGGACAAGAGTCTAAGTCACTTCAGAAACAGATACACAAGCAAAGGAAATTCTAAACGGAAGAAGAGGAAGCGGGGGGAGGAGGAAGACAGAAACCAGTGAGCTGAGTGTGCGGGAATAGTGCTGGTTTCCACATAAACCTCCTTTGTTAGCAGCTCTTCCAGTTCTGGCCTCTGAATAGCTGGAGCAGTTCCCACCGTTCTGCAGGGAAATACTGCATTATTGCTGCAGCCACAATGAAACAGTTAAATGCTGTGTAAAGTCTTGCAGTAGTACAAGCAAGACCCTACCCGTAACAGCTACAAGCATTGTTTGGTTACAGCCTTGAGGAGAAGAGGAGGAAATTTGTTTAAGTAACCCCTTCCAGGGCACTGTTTTCCCTCTTGCTTTTTTTTTTTTTTTTTTTTTTTTTTTTTTCTTTATGAGATGAGCTGCATTGAACTCCTGCTAATTGGTAGATAAACAGGATTTAATTATTTAATGTTGCATGTTTGGTATAATTTTCACAAGTAATAGGGAAATTTCAAACAAAACTAAAGCTGTTTTACAGATTTTTTTTCAGTTGACCAGTGGTACCTCCAGTGGAGTTCCTGCTAGAACACTTCCCTTTTTATTCTTGTTTGCAAGTTCAAATTTAGTATCAAAGGGAGAACCCACAATTATCACTTCAGGCAGGTTTAAAGAGAGTTATAGTTAAACAAAACTTAGTTGAAAAAAGCATCTGTTGTAGACCTGCTCTTTGAGGAGAGTCATAAGCTAAATTTAAAGTTGCTTCTTGTAACTCAGAAAATTAATTTCATTCTTGTTTCTTCTTTGTCCCTACTCCAAACTGAAGACTTGTGTTGACAAGTTAGTTGAAAATACTCATGGGTAACTAAATTCAGGTGGAAAAATGTCCACATGAGGAGGCCAAAATACTGTACAAACCAGTAGCAGAGTTCCAGCTAGGGTTCAGCTGGAGCACTGCCTGTCCCTGGCATCCTGCCCCAGAGCCACAGACCAACCATATGCCTGTGTGCCCTGGGCCTGGGCCAGTCTGCCTGGGAAAACTCTTGGCCCCACAGGGATCACCAGGGTGGAGATGGCAGTGCCTTGGGGTCTGCCTGCACTGGCTCTGAAAGCCTTGGCAGCCCCAGCTCTTTAGAGCCGCTCAGGCAGATGTTGGGATGAAGTCCAGGAGCATTCTGCTGGACAGCTAGAGTGGGGAAAAGCAAACATGGCCCTGGGACTCCAGCTTTCCTGCTGGGATATGCTGAGCTAATGAGAAGCTGCTGTGGGTGTGTTCAGCTGCTCATTTTGTTTCCTCATCTGCACCTTTCTATCACTTCTCTGCATGAGTTGCCAATGCACAGTGTGATGAGCTTGAACAGCTCCTAGATCAGGCTGAAAACTAATCTGGTATGAGCCCTCTCTGCCCACCCACCCTATGTAGTCAGCTCAGCAGCCCTGGAGAAGACAAAGAATGGGAAACAGAGGCAAGGAAGGCATTGGGGAATTTTCTGCTGGCAATGCACAAACAGCTTCACAACCAGCTTGCACTGGTGATCTAGCTGCCACCTGCAATGCCAGGCTGTGACACTCCCTTAGCCATTATTGGATCCTACCAGTACAGAAAAGTTTCACCACACAGGCAGGCAAATGGTACATAACAACTAGAACTAAAATACTCTGCTATTTTTTCCAGTAATTAATTTTTCTTACATTTGAATTTATTCTTGAGAGGTTTTGTCAAGGAGGATCCTACCTCCGCCTCGCAAAAGCTTTTACTTTCAAGACAGAATAGATTCCTTGCTGGTCACTTATCTCTGGACTCTCATGAATATAATTTTGAAAGAACTTCATGGCTAAATTAGATATTGGGGAAAAGAATGGCAGAATGCTAGCCACTTTATCTCATACTGTTATAATAATAATGCCAGCAACTTTATATCACACTATTATAATAATAAAGATCATGTGTAATATTATTACCCTTCTATATTCATTTTGGCCTTTTCCCTGTTGTCTTGGAACACCTCCTTTGTCATTCATTGATTTTATTCTTAATAACAGCATTGCACTGAAGCACAGGGTAGGCTGAGGCTCAGCCATATAACTCTACAAGAAGTCAGAGCAATCACATTCATCCACAATGCTTTTCAATTTAGTATCTGTTGTCTTCAATGCAAGTTGCATCTCCTCTCTCTCTCCATTTTGGGGTCTAATACATGCAGAAAACAGGAGCTCAGGGAGTCTGAGCTAAAATAAACTGGACGTTCAGGACCCAAGAAAGTAAGGACTTTTGCATGTTTGCCCTTGTCCCCAGGCACCCACATCAGGGCACTGTCATTACAGACCATGAGGCCAAACTGCTTTTAGGGCAGACCCAGCACAGCCAGTTCATATATTCTACAGCACCTGAATTTGGCCCACATCTCACAGAGTTCTTGCCATCGACTGGAGCTTTGTGGCTAACTACACATCATCACACATCAGGTTGCACAGTGACTGGGGAAACATTCTTCAGACGGTCTCAGCTGTTCAAACAGCTTCATATGCTACTCATAATGCTTTTATAGAAGTAGCATATATGACATTACATGCTCATAAAAAGTCTCTAAAAAAATTAAACACTTGCTAATCTTGTGGGGACATTGTGCTGAAAGGAATGTATCCATCAAAAGAAAACTAATTCCATTTCATGCAAGCTTATCAAGATAACATACACAATATACAACCATTTCACAGCTGCCAAAAGACACCAGTCTAATTTCTTTTTTTAGCTAGAAGGGGAAATTAGCAAAGCAAAGCTGTTGGAAGACAAGAAGACTACTAAAAAAAAAGTAGAAACCATCCACAATTTCATCCAAAGGTGGAAGAGTTTGTCTGTGAAATCAAACACTTGGCCAAGTGACATAGTTGTGACATTAATGTGGCTGCACGTGAGGTATGTCAATTAGTGAATTTATTGGTGGACTGTCTGTAATCCTGAGAACTAAACCTAGAGAAAACATTTTGTACAGTTCTGTTTCTGGTATTTCTCTATCTTTACCTCTCCCATCCTCCCTCCTCTCTATTCCGTTCTCATCCCTCTCCCATACAACAACTGGTTGCATGCTAACAATATTTTTCTTTGTGTGCCTGCAAATGCCATTAGATCCAAGCATGTCTCATGGAATTTGAGGCTATCATCTGTTCATATGTACTGGGTAGTCAGCAGCTTCCACAAGACAACCATTCTCCTCACCCAGATTTCATTTGCTTAAAAACATCTCAGGAATTCTTATTAATTCTTTAGCTGTTTTAAATTATCACTGAAAGAAGCCCTCCCATTTGCCTCCGCAATTGCACCTAACCCGAATTAGGATGCATTAAGAATAAAATCAATGAATGCCAACCTGCATGCCATTAGAAACCATTCAGGCCAAACAGATGCCAGATGTTAAAATCATTTGCAAAAAATGACTACTGAAAAAATAAGACTGTGTAAGGTAGCCACCTTACAGTGGATTATCCTGCCCAGTTGGAGACTGAGAGCTGCTGAACCAAGATAGAGGGAAGACAAGGCTGAGAGTGTTGGGGTTGTCCAGCCTAGAGAAAAGAAGGCTCCAGGGAGCTGTTAGAGCAGCCTCCCGGTACCTAAAGGGACCTGCAAGAGAGCAGGAGAGGGACTATTGACAAGGGCAAGTAGTGACAGGACAGGGAGGAATAGCTTTAAACTGAAAGAGGAATTTACATTAGATGTTAGGAAGAAATTATTAGCTGTGAGGGTGGTGAGACACTGGAACAGGCTGCCGAGAGAAGCTGTGGATGTGCCATTTCTGGAAGTGTTGAAGGTCAGGTTGGATGGGATTTTGAGCAACATGGTCTAGTGGAAGCTGTCTCTGCATGTGGCAGGGGTGTGTTAGGAATTGGAACTAGATGATCTTTAAGGTCCCTTCCAACCCAAACCATTCTGTGATTCTAAGAGCTACACAGTCCTTGCCTGGGCTCCTCTAAGGTTAGTGAAGATGGCATGGACTCCTCCTGGGGATGGCATGTGAGCTGCCACAGGAAAGGTGGTTCCAGGAGATTGTGCTTTGGAGATATACCTGGGAATCAAAACTTTTCTGTTTTCTGGAAGAGGGTAGTTAATGACTTACTCCAGGAATAAGTGATCCATGTCCAGCAGTGGATCCCCATGCAAACAGTCCTTATAGACACTATGTGAATATGCTTACATTTTTCTATGTTTGTGATGCAGTCACTCTTCAGGTCCTTATGGCTTAATTATC